CAGCCAGGTGTCGGGTGGGGTCCAGTTCGGTAGCCACCGGATTTCATCTCTGCTTTTTGCAGATGATGTGGTGTTGTTGGCTTCTTCGAACCAGGACCTGCAGCATGCACTGGGGCGGTTTGCAGTAGAGTGTAACGCAGCTGGGATGAAAATTAGCACCTCTAAGTCCGAGGCCATGGTTCTCGACCGGAAAAAGGTGGTATGCACCCTTCGGGTCGGGGATGAAGTCCTGCCTCAGGTGGAGGAGTTCAAATATCTGGGGGTCTTGTTCACGAGTGACGGTAGAATCGAGCGTGAGATTGACAGGCGGATCGGTGCTGCGGCCGCAGTAATGCGGTCGCTGTATCGGTCCGTTGTGGTGAAGAAGGAGCTGAGCCGAAAGGCGACGCTCTCAATTTACCGGTCAATCTACGTTCCTACCCTCACCTATGGTCATGAGTTGTGGGTCATGACCGAAAGAACGAGATCAAGGATTCAAGCGGCTGAAATGAGCTTTCTCCGCAGGGTGGCAGAGCGCTCCCTTAGAGATAGGGTGAGGAGCTCTGTCACACGGGAGGAGCTCGAAGTAGAGCCGCTGCTCCTCCACATCGAGAGGAGTCAGCTGAGGTGGCTTGGGCATTTACATCGCACGCCCCCATCGCAGGATATTTACTAATAGTCATGTTGTTGTCAGGATATTAGAATTTTGTGGCAAAATAAATATTTTCTAATGACTTCAAAATCAGATTGTGCTTTAAAAACTATTGTATTGTAGACTAATTTAACTCAAAAGTAAAATCTTTGTGCAGTATTATTTGTCCCCTGTATGACTGTATTATTTTATATAAAGCGATATGCTATAAAAACTCCTAGCCTTCTTCAACAGGAACGTTTTACAGTGCTGGTCATCAGGTATTTGGCCCTGGTTGTGCAACAACCACAACATAGAAAAACAACCTCTGGATGCATAAAAGGGAAACAGAAAGTGCAAGGACGTTAAGATAGGCCAAGAGAGATCAAGGATCTGCTGTGTTAATTCTTTTGACCCGCCGTAGAGAAATTTCTAGAAACCACAGTATATCTTTTTGAAGTAAAAGTGAATCAGACCTTTTCAAGGTAAAACACAGAAAGCAGTCCAGGGCAAAGAGTTATTTCAACAACTGTACATTGCTGCTTTATTTTTCAGCAGATAAAAAGTAAATAAAATCTCTCACCTGTGACCTGCACACTGATGCGGAAATAGACATCACTGGTACTAAGATATCTCTCCACCAGGATGTAGTACCACTGCTCCCATGCAGGAACAACTGTCTCTAATTCACACAGGTTCCACTCCCTGCAGTCGAAGGCACTTGAGTTATGAACCGGTGGCGCCCGCGGTCTTATCTTCAGCACCACAGGACAACTGTCGCTGCTCTTGTTCTTGGTGCTGCAGTTTACCAGCTGGACTTTTACCTTTGATATATAATTAGGGATGAACACTCTGCACAAGGAGACACACACACAAGTAAACACATAATGCATAATGTTTTATGCAATAATAACAGCTATATAGAGTGGTATGAAAAAGTTTGGGCACCCCTGATAATTTTCAAGATTTTTGTATCATTGGTTA